TCATTTGTGACACATAATATCACTCTATTCAGGATCTGTAGGTTCTGGTGATTCAATCCAGACAGAACTCCAAGGCTAATGGTTTAGAAAAGGTAAGAATTATAGAGCTGTAATATTGGAAGGGAACTCAATAACTGTAATAGAGTGGCTTAATTAGACTAATTTGTGCACATGGCAATATCCAAACATTCTAGAAGAGGTAAGAAGCCTTATGAGGGAGTTAAGAGCATGGGCAAAGTGGGTGAAGAGATCATCAATCGGTTGGGCATATGCAATGGTGAGACAAGGAGTTCAAAGAACCAGCTATTCTGTTATAGATAATGTATAAAGGAATATTGCTGCCATGTCTTTAATATAATACTTTTAGTTATCTTAAAAAAATATTGTTGATATGGGTCAGGGTGCTTGGCACAAATCCTTCAAAAGAAAATTTTATCATGTAATGACTAAATTGAAATATTGCTGATGTTGGTGATCAAAATATATATGGTGTGATATTGAATTGGAATACTCTTGAACAAGTGCAAAAGAAGAGAATTCCAATTTTCCAAGTCTGATACTTCACAACAGAAAATGTTCTGATCAAAGTCCCAATAGGCAAGATTTTAAAAATTCTTTAATACTATAAAAATGTCAAATGGGTGGTTCTTTATGTACTCATCCATATGATTAATTTTTCAATATCAGACTTGTTCATGCGTCGGGTAGCCCAACGGCCCGGCCCATTCTTGGTTGGGCTTAGGAATGGATTTAGGCCCGCATGCTCAGTCTCGGGTCCAAAACAGCCAGGCTGGGCCTGGCCTGAGCTTTCTTAAAAAAGCCCAGTGTGAGCATGAGCCTGAGCCTGAGCCTGACCTGATAATATATATATTGTGTGTGTGTGTGTGTTTATATGTTGTTTTCTTCGTTCCTCTTCTCTTTTCTCAACCCATAATAAGATCTTTTCATTATTTTTGGGTTTTGAGGTCTTTTGATATAAATAAACCAGTTTTGTTATCGAGTTAAAAAAGAAAAATCTTTTTTTCCCCATTTTTCTGCTTGGCTCGGGCTCAAGATCTAGGCCCAATGGTTGGGCTGGGCTTGGGATGCATTCTGTTAATATAGAGACAAAGCCCGTCCCGTGAACAGGTCTATTCAAATATACAGATGAATCATTTAAATATCATAATTGTTCTTAGCATGGGAGCACAAAATTCAGAGGCTGTTACATAGTGTTGCATAGACAAAATATGTTGGTCAATTACTTTATTTCACTCTTTTTTCTGCCCAGGCAATTAAGCATTAAGATTAGAAGTTAACATTTGATGGTCATACATAAAAGCCTATCTAGTACATTAAATATAACCATTCTTAAAAATCTGTTGGGTACATTAACTTTGATGATCAGTTCTTTAACTCTGTTTTTATTTTTATTTTTCCAACTCCACTAGTGTGAGCTTGTCTTACATCCCAAGCTCGGGTCAAGGAGGAGGGTTGTGTTGGGTTGGAACTCAGCATTTGAACTTTTGCCCAACTCTTATGGCCATGGATTCTGAATTGTCATTTCGTGCTCATGCTAAAGTGTGGATATGGCACTAAACAGAGTGGAATGGTGAAACTGGATTCATGTAGGCACCCAATATAGTTGGGGCAAGGCTTAGATAATGATGATGATGATTGTCTTTTTTCCCATTCTTTTAGACTCAATGCAGACCTTATCTTTGGCATTTTTTTTCTTAGCACAAAGTTGCCACTCTCAGACTCAAACCTGCATTTTCTAGCTTTGAGGAATGTAGTGGTTAAAGGGGACTTTTGGGTTATAGTGGAGTGGCTAAGGAACAAGGACCATGGTTAGATAGCACTTCCTACCCTCATTTAGGGAGTACATCTCACTTGTATATATTCTATTCCACATTCCAGAGTCAATAGTCAATAAAACTTTGTATATTAACAATCCCCCCACCCCACCCACCCCAAAAAAAGCAAAAGTGCATTCTGCAAAGAGTATTATAGAAAATTTTAGATAATGGTACAATTATGGGGGAGGGTGGAGTATAGGCATCTATCAGTATGTAACTGCTTTGTTGGCCATCTATACTTGAGATCCAGATATATTAGTACTATAATGCTGTCACTAATTGGTATACCATGCTTATTACAAGTGTATGTGATGAATCCCTTTCCTTTCTTATTTCAACAAATCAACTGTTAATGTCATCATCTATTCTTGATCATCATGTTTCACTGTCCCTTTTTTTAGGCTGTGTTTGGTTTGAAAGAAAAGGTAGGGAAACCTTTACAAACCTTGTATAAGTTTCCGTACCTCTAGGCTTTTACCTACCTTTTCTTCAAACCAAAGACGGCGTTAATGAACTTAATGTGTGCCTCTTTTGAGTTGCAACTGCTGAGTGAAATGTGTTATGTCCTGATGATATTTCATATTTACAAGACTGGATTCTTAGTCATTAATCATGAATAGTTTTGACAAATATTGTTTATTTGTGGATAAATTGTAGTACAAAAAGTTATGCTGTCCTTCACTTCCCACATAATAACGAAGTGCTGTATTGAACAATATACTGCAGGACAAGCATTCTCGAAAGGGTCTTGAAGCAATGGTGCGGAGGAGGAAAAAGTTGCTCAAGTATCTCAGAAGAACTGACTGGGAGTCCTACTGTTTAGTTCTCTCTAAGCTTGGACTTAGGGATAACCCAGACTACAAGAGCTAGATGCCAGCATCTCCTTTCTCATATCTTCTATCTATGTCTTTTATCTGAAAAGTGGCTATCTATTGCTTGCCTTACCGTTGGACCTCACGGAAGTTATTTAACTCTGGTATAAGGAGAAGGTGCAAACGAGTGCTCTGACTTTTCTTTATTTTTATTTTCTCCAGTGTTCTCAACCCATCCTCGACCTGGGTCGTTGAATAGTGACTGGACAGCTGAAAGGGTCCCAACCCACATGTTTAGATAATTATGATCAATTCAACGGGCTAATCACCTGGTTGAACTGCCTAACCCGCCTCACAGTCCAGCTTTCCGGCTCGACATCCAGTTAGATTTTTGTAGAACGCTGGTTTACTTCTTTTCCTTCATCTTCTTTATTTATTTTTAACCGTTTTATGACACAAATTTTACTTCTCTTCGCCCTATCAAACAAGACATTTGTACGATTTCTTACGCTTCTGATTGAAACAGATATTTAATTCCTCCTATTTTATTCGGGGTAATTGAATATTTGGTGAGGGAACAATAATCAAAAAGAGATGCACAATAATTGATTGTAAGTAGGAATCCATCCAACTCTTGTTATTTACTGTTAAAATGAAGTTGTCTTACTTCCGTATTCAGTGATGAAACGAAACGGAATTTTTCCTGCAAGGCCACTTGGAAATTAGGATTGATGCCCATGATTTGAATTTTTACATTATATAATTCATCAGTCAAGCTTGCCAATATCTCGGCAGAAAAGGAAAATTTTGGAATCGCAGGTGCTTGTTTCCGTTCGCCCCAAGGAAATTAAACTTCGAACAAAAAAAATCTCATTCTACGTTTCATATTCGCTCTACAAATTGTTGACATGAAACATAACAAGTGATCCTTGAAAAAGGAAAGAAAAAAGAAACAAGGCCATGTTGCATGTAAGTTTAACATCTTATTTCCTCATGCTTTCTTTGATCGTTCATTTGATCTGCACTACTGTCGAAAGGTCCTACGAGATCTCTTGCTTTTGTCGCTGAAGCTTCTGCCAGTGCCGGCAGTTTCTAGTCCCCTCGCAAACCCCCTCTTGAAGGAATATTTCAGACTTGAACTTCGCTAATCATCTCTCGGCAACGGTGACAGAAGCCATACCCACCTCTCTGCTCGCCATATCCATATGTGATATGTGAGGTTTCTGTCTCGTTCCTGGAGATTCAATATGCAGCAGCCTTTGCTCCTTTGCTTTTTTTTCTTTCTTGTTTTTTTGTTAATTTATTTTTGATGGGATAGCCTCCAAACACTGGTGGCAACAGGATTTGATCTCAAGTCTCCTTTATAAGTTTATAAAGCTCACTGCTCCTTTGCTCCTACTCTTTCTTTCATGGATAAACATATGATGCAAAAGGTATGATTTCAGAAGAGCTTTGATCAATCAAAATCCCCTGGCCCATGAATTTTGATTGGTTATTACTTTGTCTGGGGTCATGTCTTTCTGACAATGTTCAAAATATCGGTGTATAACATATTGATTTTCAGTGATCAAAATACACTGCTTACTTGGAGCAGGTTGAATGGCCTCTTCTTGATGGATCTTTCTAGCCTTCTTGATTTACTGTTACTGTTAGAACATGCAGCTCTTTATCTCTTTCTCAGTCATTCCAAAACCACAAAAGATTGTTGAATGCTAGATATCGATCAATAAACATTGTTGAATGCTAGATACAACTGGGTATGTTGCAACCTGGTATTGGGTTGGTGGGTTTGCAGAAGGACCCAACTCAAACCCGACCCATCCAACTTCACTTGTAGCACATAAATATGTCATCATTCTAATACAGAATAATGCACAGCAAAACAGAATATCCTATGCATCTGCGCTGGATTTAAGAACCATTGTTATTAGACCCAAGGTTCAAAGTATCAATACGTATCGGGCTGTATTGTCCGATATGTATCATATTGGGAGCTTCCCAATATGCTCCTTAGGGCTGTTCATAAGAAGGCCCAACCCGACCAACCCGGACCGATCCAACCCGAGTCGGCCGGATTTTCATCAGCACCAGTCGGTTTTGGGTTGGGAAAATTTGTAAACCGAAATATTAGGTCGATTTCGGTTTTCTTGTGTAAAAACCGAAACCGAACCGAACTAGTCTTCCCACTTAACTAGTCTTCTACTAGTTCGGTAGTTCCTAGATTCCTACTTAACTAGTCTTCTACTAGAACTAGAACAACCTTATCTTCTAATTCCTACTTAACTAAATTGTATCTATCCTAGTTTCTATAGTCTTTTTATGGTGAAGAAGATGATGACATGGACAAAAGTAGCTTCTTTTTCAGCCAAAGAAAAGAATCACAGAAGGGGATTAGAAGTTTCAGAAATAAGGAAACTTTGGAGCTCGGTGTGGGAAAGGAAGTCTTACAGCTTCCTTCCTCTAATAGCAGATCAGGATCACTGGGTTTGAATCCAACGTCTCAATTCAAAATTTATGCCTAGATGGCTACTCTAGGCTCTGAGAAAGGACAGTTGGGAACCCAGACATGAAAAATTCTTTGCTCAATAACAGGTGGTGGTCAACAAAGGTCTGAACAGATTAAGGTTGCTTGCTTACCAAGGAAATGCAAAAGCTTTTTGAGTGGAACAGGGGTTAGTAAGGTTGACATTGGACCAAAGGTGAGACAAGTTTCAGAAATAAGGTTTGACTACAGGAGCAAAACCAAAACCGACCCAAATCGATCCAACCCGACTCAAACTGACCAGGTCGGTTTTGCCTATCAATGGGTCGGTTTCGGTTTCCACTTTAGGTAACCAGACCAGGTCGGGTCGGTTGGGAAAACTCCAGTAAACTGACCCAACCCGACCCGTGTACAGCCCTAATGCTCCTATAAAGGGTGTATCGAGGTTTCGACCGATTCATGGAGTGGACAGACTTTAAACTGACCCCTCTGTACATATTTGAAAAAAAAAACTAAAAAGAAAACTATCGATACTGCTCGATACCGCTGAAGAATATCCCAAGCATTTGGGATGAGGTGCATTCTTTTTATAAGAAATGCCAATTTCGAGGCTGGTAAATTTGATTTGATCAAAGGCATCTGTGGCAATAATTCGATCTTTGCAATATCATATTCTATATTGGCAAATGTTAATGTGTGCAAAATTATATTCATATGATATGGAAATTATTATGAGCAATACACCCAGCCTTGAATTGACATGCTTCCCACATAACCTCAGTTCCCATGAAATAAGAGTTTGAGGTTTTCTCCTACCATTATGTTTTCATACGGCTACACCGTATTAGCACCCTTTTTCATTTCCTAACAAGGAGTTAGAAAATAATAAAAAAAATTCTTACGATAAAAAACAAAAGAAAAAAATGTAAATTGGGTTATTCTGTAAATATATGACATTGGGGCGTTGGTTTTTGAAGTCTCTACCTTTCTCAATTTGGCTCTGTTTTTTTTTTTTGGTATAATTTCAATTTGGCTCAGGATCAAAATACTGATACGATGTGCCCATTCAATATATCTTATTTGTATTGGTGTACTTAAGTACATGTCAATATACCAATACAAATATGTTTTAAAATATTTAGGGTCTATTTGATTCGCAGTTGGAATTAGAACCGATATCCCTTAGGATCAGAATCAGAATAGTTTGCTCCTATAGTTATTTGATTTAGACAGGAATCCAAATGTGAATTAGAATCAGTTGGAAGGGGATTTCATTCCAAGGTAGGGGAGGGAATGGCTATTCCCTCAAATGGGAATGAGATTTTGATTCAGTTCAACCAAACAATTAGAATTGAAATACCGCATTCTGATTCCAATTTTAGACCTCGATTCCCACATACCAAAATGGGCCCTTAATATTTTGGAATGGTGGAGAGTCCCGATCAACTGTCAACAAAACATGTTCCAACACCCTCCTACATAATCTTACACCACACATCTCATACATAGCAGGTCCCACTTTTATGGTGGGTCCCAATCTCAAGGTGAGATGTGACTTCTTCAGGCCAATGCCCTAACTTTGCTAAATCTATAGTTATGTTTTTCAAAAAATATGCTTGTGAGATGTAGAAAAAAATTGGCAAAAATTTTAAAAACACCAATTGAGGTCAACCCAAAATCTTATTTAGGTGCTCTCATAATTAATGGTAGAGCTTCAAGATATATCTTTAAGGACCTAAGAGAAAAAGTAAATTGGCCAATTGGAAGAAGAACACTTTCTATGGCGGATAGAATCACCTTGCTTAATTCTACAATTAATATGATCCCTCATTACATTATGAGGTCTTTCAAAGTTCCCAAAATATGATTGATGACGTAGATAGATGTCAAAGGAATTTCTTGTGGACCAACTTAGAGGATAGAAAACCGATTCACCTATTGAGCTGGAAAGGGTCTGTACCCCTAAGAGTCAAGGTGGTATGGGTCTCAAAAACTTGTTGTGGGCAAATGAAACGAAGTTAGCTAAATTGGGATGGAAAATTCTCATCGATGAGTACTACTTGTGGGTAAAAGCTGTTAAAAATAAGTATATCAAGCAAAAAATTTATGGGATTTAAAATTTTAAAAAGGGGATTCATGGGCTTGGAAAGGAATCCTTAAGTCTAGGGACCTCATAAACAAAGGTATTGGATGAGAGATTGGTGATGGTAAATTAGTAAGCTTTTGGAATGATAAATGGATGGGGGATAGGGCAGTAACTGAATTGATCTCTCAAGCTACCATTGAGAATGAGAGGATGTTGGTTTGTGATGTGCTTGACCAAGATGGAAAGATTTGGAATAGGGAGAAAATCTGTAGTATTGTTCAAAATGACGTATGGTTAAAGATTAAGGCTAATTTCATCCCTTCTAGTATTGGGGATGATCATTGATTTGATGGTATGATACTAATGGAAAGTTCTCCAAATCTGCTTACCATCTCAAGTGTAAGTGATGAATCAGATGATTGGGTTCAATTGGAATAGTAATGTCTAGAATCTTAAATGTCCACCAAAATTACAGGTTTTTTTTGTACTTTTTGCTAAATTATAGAATCCCCTCGAGATCTCTTCTTAGAAGTAGAGGTGTCAATATTGATGGCGATTGTAAGTTCAGCGGGGAAGAAGAAAATGTTATTCGCATTTTTAGAAGCTGTGGTGGTGTTAGACAAGTTTGGTTGATGGTTAATCCATCTATTCAAGGTTTAGATGACCAATAGAAACCGTTTAAGGACTGGTGATTAGAAATTTTAGGAAACCAATGGAGTGAACAAGGGATTTAAGAGCGAAATATGTTTTCTTGTTATGGTATCTTTGGAAAAGTAGAAAAGGCCCTCTTCTCCTTTACCGAATACCAAGAAAGTTTATTCTGAACCCAAAGTCAGCATACCTCTAACTGTTATAAGTTAGTTAGGTGGAATCCCCTGAGATTGGAATAATTAAAATTAATTTTGATGCATCATGTGAGGTATTGCATTACAAAGCCTATAAACTGGTCTTGCCTCCATTAATAAGGCTGAGGCTGGGGCTGCGCGGGAAGCCCATAACTTAGCTATAAATTTCAGGGATTTCCCTCTAGTTATTGAAGGCCATCTCATAATTTTCTGCCTTAACCATGTGACAACGGCAAAGGCCATTCTCCACTGTTGAGAAGTGAATGAGAAATGCGAGAAAGGTATCACCTAGGCATGTCTACTAGCTAGATTCTGTTTCAATTAATCTTTGTAACCTTCTTTTGCTTTTTTCTTTCTTTCGTTTTAGCGATTTGTGGGGACGTGCTACCCCGTCTTTCTTAGCCACTTTTGGTTTTTATCAGAAAAAAAAAAAAATTTTGCAATCCCCAAAAGTAGGGAAAAATGAAAAAATCTATACCCGAAGAACCGAGAATTCTTTTGATTGGTTACAAGTGTTTCCCGGTACCACGCTTTAACGCCACGTGTCAAGACAAAAAAGGAAAATTTCTCTTTAGCGGTGGTAATAGAGATCAAGCGATCTCTTTCTTCCCCCTATCGTCTCTTTTGTAGAGTTATACCCTACACCTGCAGATCGGCGGGTGACGTTGAGGTTCGCTAACGTGCGCCATGGGTGGCGGCAAGAGAAGGTTAAGCAGGAAGATCAGTAAGGGAGGAGGCTCTTGTCGAGCTTTCTTCGTTGATGGAGGTTTCTTATCTGAATGGCAGAACGATTCTTCTTCGCCCGGTTCTGCCCGAGGTTCTCCTTTCCCTCTTCTTCTTTTCTGAAAACCTAGAACGAGTTCTAGGTTCCATTTTCTTCTCGTCTCTTCTTGTTTTCGATTTCCTTCTATGTGGAACATGCAGGGAAAACCCCAAGGGACAATGGTAAATCTGCATCGAAATCCAGCAAATTTGATAAGCCTGAGGCTTCTGATTCACGGGACGGATCTCGAAGACCGAGTGGAAATTCTTTTGGGTACGAATATCCAGTTGTTGATGTTGAGGTAAGTTGTTTCCTTTCCGAATCAAAATCCTTTCTTTTTCTCCTAATTATATATAGTCTTCAACCGTGAAATGGAATTGAAGTATTTTTACATCTGGCTTGTCTTTGGATTCGTTAATTTTGAATGTTTTCAGGACCTTATGCGATTGGAATCAGGTATTGATGGGAATGTTAAAGGTGGTGATGTAGATGAATCACGTCCCATTATTTTACTTGATTCTAAGGAAACACAAGTTGTCGCCTATGTAGATGAAACGCCTTGCACAAAGTCATGTGGTGGGGATTACACTTACGAATATGGGTCGAATTTTGTGCTGGGAGAGAGCTTTCACAGAGGGTTGGGGTTTGTCAATGAGCCGGAGGAGACACCGACTGGAATTGGGTCTTCCTCGGCGAAGGAGGAAGAGAGAGAAGGGTTAGGATTCAATTCATCCTCTACCGAAAAGGAAACTAATACTCGGAAGAGTTCCAGTCACAAGCAACGTGGTCAAAAGAGTGAAGTTTTTGTATTCGAGGGTTCACCTTCTGAGAGGAATTCTGGTTTTTTGTCTATTGGAGGCATGAAACTATACACGGAGGACATTTCTGATGAGGACGAGGAAAGTGATGAGTTTGTAGATGATGACAGAGATTCAGTTGATGAAGGAAGCTCAGGTTCTTCTGAGGAAAGTGACTCAGATGGCTCATCTGGAGGTGATGATTTGGAGGGGATGTCGTCTGCTACTGGTTCTGATGTTGATGAAGAGATTGCAGAAGATTACTTGGAAGGAATTGGTGGAAGCTATGAGTTAATGAATTCCAAGTGGTTGGTGGATCAAGCTTTGGATGTCTCAGATGAAGATGGTTCTTCCAGCAGTCTCAGTGATGAGAGTTTAGAAATGTTTGAAGGGCTTGCTCTGCAAAATTCATCTCAGGAATATGGTATGAAGCCAAGATCAAGAAAAAAGGCTCATCAGGGGTCTGATAGAGCTGGAGCAATGGACGGTGGGTCACTGATTCTGGATGATCTTTTATTTATGAAGGATTCTAGAAAAATTTTGTCTAAAAAGAAGCATGCTGTTAGGGTTCCACAGACTTGGCCTGTTGAGGGTCAAAAGAGTAAGAAATTCAGAAATGTTCCAGGTAAGCAAGTTTCCTTGTCTATTACTATCTCAGATTATGCAATGCCAATGCTCTTCTTTGGATTGTTTTGTTTTTCCATGAGGAAATATGTTTTAGTGTTTGAAGTATTGATGTGAAGCAGTTTTTGCCTAAACCTTGGGGTGTATGCCCAAAATCCAAATTACCTTTCTTTTTTAATTTTAGTTCATTTAAGTTATTAAAGACTTAAAGTTACCAAATACAGATACACAATATAACAAGTAATAGTAACAATCCTACAATAGCTGCAAAATATTTGTATTCACAATATAGAAAAACAATACTAACAAATTAGAAAAAAATGAGAAGCAATATTAATAACTGAACTGGCAATGACCAAAGAAAAGAAATTCATATGTCTGAAAGAGTAGATTTCATCTGTAAACAGTACTTTTTTGAACTCTTAGTCTGTGCTTGATTTGAAAGAAAAGGTAGGTATAGGATTCCCTACCTTTCCCTACCTTCTCCTTCAAACCAAACACAAGGTTAGGAATTTCTTTCTGGAATCTTCTTATTGCATATGGAACCAGTTTCTTTCTTTGTGAAAGCTAAAGTGAATAGTGACCCAGAAAAAGACTTACCTTGCTTTGACAAATTGGAGATAATTTGTAGAAAATAGTTCTAGGTTTCTATCCTTATTTTCGTGGCAGAACTTTTTCTCATGAAAATTGGGTGGATTCAGCTGAAGAAAATAAGAAAAAGAAAGCTGCTAAAATAAGATTGAAGGTGGTATCAATACAGAAAAAAAAGGAAAAAGAAAGATTGAGGGTGGGGTCAGGAAGCTACAGCACAATATTAACCAAGGACTTTTTATCTTATGAAAACAAATGAGGTATTGACTGAAAAGAAAAGGTTGTTGGCAATTACTCTCCTCCCTCCTTCCTTTCTACCCCCTTTTGTGGGCTGATGTGCTTGACAAATAATACTGTTTTAACTAGAAGTAAACACATGTGACAGAAAAGAATATATAAAAAGGAAAGTACTTGCCAAATCATCCCTCTCAGGCAGTGGGCCTGGCCCAAGACTCTTACGAAATGGGTGGTCCTCCGACCAAGATAGGCAGGGGGAGGAGCACAATAGAGGCCAAATTGTCCGTCTCAGGGAGGTGAGCAGAGTGCGGATTCCAGAGGCGAGCTAGTAGTAGTGGATAGGCAACGAGGTTATCAGAGCGCAGAAGAATTGATAGAAATAAGGCTGCTAGCTACCGTATGCCAACAGACCACAGGCAGAATCTGGACAAAGTTCAAATGGAGAAAGGGTGCTGTTAAATCTGCAAACAAGTGAACAGGAAGGGATTTCTCCTTGGGTTTTATTGAAATTGTTTTCTTTTGGGGAGTTTTTGGGAGTCCGTTTTGAAGGCATGGAGCCAGAGACTGTACAACTGTTAGCAGAGATAAAGAGAAGAGCAATAGAGGAGAAGGGGAGGAAAGGAAGGAGAACAGATTGGAGCTGTTTAAGTTCTCCCGGGGGTTGAATGATAGAGCTGGGAGCAGTGATTTAAAAGGCGCGCCTAGGCGCATAGGTGAGGTGCATTTTAGGGTATGCGCCTTTCCTATGTCTCAGCTGCAGCTCTTTCAAAAGGTGTACACTTGGTGTGCCTAGATGTACATCTGATGCACCTTGTGCCTCAGCTCAAGCGTGCGCCTTTTGAAAATTTCACGTTTTTTTTTGCTTTTATTGGACCTAGCGGCTGGGCCAGGCGGACCTCCGTACCACGCCCCTTGAGGCAAGCCCAAACAAGTCCATGTTTGGGGCTTAAATTCTTATTTCTCACACAAAAAATAATGATTTTATAATTCTTAGTTCTCATCCTAATGAAATATCTTCTTAAAAAGCAATTAAACTTATAAAATCATTATTTTTTGTGTGAGAACTAAGAATTTAAGCCCCAACATGGACTTGTTTGGGCTTGCCTTGAGGGGCGTGGCACAAAGGTGGCTCGTAGAGTCAGGAATGTAATATGTTTTACATCACATTAGCTACTTGAAGTAATGCAATTGAGGAAACAAGAGATTGTGGGTTTTACATGCTTGAAAATGTTTTATATGTTTGATTTTATTTTTAATTTTTTATTTGAATACACTTTACATGTTATGTTTATATATTTTAATTTTAGATAATAGGTTTTTTAAAACATTTATTTTAAAATTTAAGTTTATATTTTTTATTAATATTATGTTTAATATTTTTTGATTTTTTAGCTTTTTTTTTTTGTATTTTTATGCCTTGCTTCAAAAAGGCGCTTGCCTTGGGCGCAATGGCCCTTGTGCCTTTTTTGTGCCTTGTGCTTTTATAACATTGGCTGGGATCTCGGCTCAGGGTAATAGAGGGGGTCGAAAAGGAAAGTAAGAGTGGTGGGGCAGGGAGAAGACATTTTAAAGTCTAAGCTTATGGAATGGTTAAAAATATTTCTTGGAACATTAAGTGTTTAAGTTTGGGATGAAGAAGGGTGGTAGTATGGGGGTTCCTAAAAAAGTGGAATCCCACAGTGCTTTGCTTACAACAGACGAAGCTAGAGTTTCTGGATGGAGAGATAGTATGAAGCGTTTGGGGGGGATAGACAGTGTGAGTGGGATTTCTTTCTGGCAAGGGGAATAGCTGGAGGGCTATTGTTGGTGTGGGATTCATTGGTGATGGTGGCAAGGGGCAGTTCTCAATTTCTGCCTAGTTTCAACACGATTATCATTAGGCTCTTACATGAGAAGAGGGGAGGGCAGTGAAACTACAGGGGAACAAGAAGCTTTGCTCAGTTCATGAGTTGATGGGAGTTGGTGGATTTACCCACTTATTGGGGCAAGCTACACTAGGTCAAACAATCAAAATCAACCCATTCTGGGTTGGATCACTTTGTAGTCTGAACAACCTGGGAAGATTCTTTTCCTTGTCTGTCTTAGGAGGCTTTACTTAAACTGATGTCTGACCATTCCCCCACCCTTCTAGATTGTGGAGGAATCACATCAGTTAAGAACCCTTCTTTTCGGTTTGAGCACATGTGGTTTGAGGAGGAGGGTCTAAGGGAGAAAATGAAGAGGTGGTGGGAGGAGCATCGGGTGGAAGGGTTAGCAAGCCATAAGTTTAGCAGAAAGCTGATTAACTTGAAGACAGGGTTAGCAAGCCATAAGTTTAGCAGAAAGCTGATTAACTTGAAGACAAAGCTAAAAACTTGGAGCAAGCAGACTTTCAAAGGGATGGAAGCAAAAGGAGCGTTTGGAGAGAATATCAAGGGTGGATAGGGCCAAAGAGACAAGGGACCTGTTGGGGGAAGAGAAATTTCGGAGGTTCAATCTTCAATGCCAAACAAGAGTTTGACAAAATTTGTTATCAAGAAGAGATTAAGTGGAGACAAAGGTCTAGGTGTCTATGGTTAAAATAGGGAGATTAAAACACTTCTTTCCTTCATAAATTGACAAGTGGTAGAAGACGGCATAATTGTATTAAGAGATTAGAGGTAAAGGGGAGGAAAATAGGCTACAAGAGGCTATCGTTAATTATTATCAGGAAGTTTTTAGAGAAAGATGGAGACGGAGGCTCAAACTAGATGGGTTGGACTTCAGACAACTGACTATAGAGGAAGCAAGCTTGCTGGAAGTAGCCTTTACTGAGGAAGAAGTTAGAGGTAAGTAATGAGTTGGAAGCAGATAAAGCACCAGGTCCGGATGGTTACACAATGGAATTCTATAAGAGAAGTTGGAGTTACATTGGGGGTGATTTGGTGAAGGTTTTTGAAGAATTTCACATCAACAGTGCACTAGAAAGAAGCCTAAACTCCACCTTCATATCTTTAATCCCAAAAAAGAAAGGAGCAACTGGGGTAAGAGACTTTAGGCCGATCAGTTTGGTAGGAAGTGTTTACAAGATATTAGCAGAAGTACTGGCAAAGAGGCTGATTAGAGTTATGGACCTTCTAATCTCTGAAAGCCAGAATGCATTTGTGGATGGGAGGCAGATTATAGATGGGGTGTTAGTGGCAAATGAGCTGATTGAGTCAAGGTTGAGAAGTGGGGCACTGGGGGTGTTGATGAAAGTGGATTTGGAAAAGGCCTACGTTCATGTAAACTGGGGCTTTTTGGACTACACACTAGAGAGATTTAACTTGGGCAAGAAATGGGGGAACTGAATGAAAGTTTGTATAACAACAGTTAGCTTCTCAATCTTGATAAATGGGAAGTCAGTTGGTAGATTGTGCAGCTCGAGAGGACTGAGGCAGGGGGACCCCCTTTCCCCCTTGTTGTTCATTTGTGTTGTGGAGGCTTTAAGTAGAATGGTGTACAGGGCAGTTGAAGGAGGTTTTTTGGAGGGTTTCTGGGTGGGTGAGGAGGGAGGGATGGCAGTGCTACGATATGCAGATAACACTTTGTTTTTTGCTGATGTGTCGAATAAGCAGACGAAGTCCATCTGTATGATTCTCACATGGTTTGAGGTTGTATCAAGGCTCAAGGATAACCTTCATAAGAGTGAACTCATGGCAGTTGGGGAAGGTGCGAATGTGGCACAACTGGCAGGTAGTATGGGCTGTAAACTAGGTAAGCTTCCAACAAGGTATTTGGGGATGCCTTGGGGAGCAATGCAATGCAAAGAAAATCTGGGAACCCATAGTGGAGAGTGTGGAAAGGTGGTTGGCATCCTGGAAAGTAGGGGTGGCAACAAGCCGAGCTTTTCACAAGCTGCTCGAGCTTGGCTCGTGAAAAGCTCGGCTCAGCTCGGTTTCAACCGAGCTNTGCGCCGCCCTTGGATACGGACCTCCTCAGTGTCAGGTATGGTACGTTTGTTCAGTTCGGCATCCTGGAGGCGAAGTGCTGGAGTGGTGAGCGAGGTGAAGTCTTGAGTTCGGATAGGGGAGTGTCCCAAACTGCCATGAGGCGGGCCAGTTCGGGTCTTTGCCTTGTATGGAGTTCGGGCTCCTAGTAGGGAGTTCGGGCTCCTAGTGGGAGTTCGGGCTCCTAGTAGGGAGTTCGGACTGCTGGTTCCTCCCTTCGGTGCTC